TGCAGCCATCAGGATATGAAGGCGATAGACATGGGAAGCTTGCCTAGTAATTGATCAGCTCATACTTGTGAATTACATGCCTTGAATCAAGAGCTGAAGTTATTACAAGGAGAACAGGAAACTATATATATAAAGACTCATGAGATACTTATGGAATAGTATGTACATTTGGAAAAATTTGGGAAGAAAGGGATTTAATATATAGGAGAGAGAAGGAATTGGCCCATGAAGAATTGATTTTGGAAAACCTGTTACTACCTGAAGAAATTGCTACAGTACATATCAGTAATATCAAAAAGGAGATTATTTGAATTCTAGCATGGGGGAAAAAGAATCTCCTGATGAAAAAGCGAAGGAGTCTGCTTTACAGTCAGAAAAAGTAATGAAACTGTCTGAAATGCCTGAAATGAAGCCTCTTCCTGAACATCAATTTTCAGTGAAAAAGAGAATGCAGCTTTTAAAGAGTTAGATATAAAGGAGGCAGAAGGATGATGGATGCTCCTCAACAGTAGGGAAATGATAAACAAACAACTGATTAGAGAAATTTTAACCATTCTGCATCTGGGGAGTCATTGAGGAGTCCAAGCAACGTGTGATGCTATATTGAGAAAGTATGGGTGTATAGGATTGTATACAATGGCCAAGCAGATTTGCAATAGCTGTATAACAATGAATAAATAAGATTCATAATCAGTGAATAAATGAGAATATCATGAGAAAACAACTTTTGGTGGACAGGAGCCAGGACACAGACCTTTCCAGAGCATCCAAGTAGATTTTCCTGAATTAGGGAGATTTAAGTATCTGTTAGTATTAGTAGACCATCTGTCAGGGTGGGTAGCTGGCAACAGCTAGTGTAGTGACAAAACCAATTTTGGTACAAATAATCCCTAGATATGAGGCTGTGCAGAATATAGACTCAGACAAGGGAAGTCATTTTTCTTCACATATCCTCCAAGGAGCTAGTGAAAAATTTAGAGATAAAGTGAGAGTTGCATACTCCATGGCATCCCCTCTCTTCAGGAAAAGTAAAGTAGATGAATCAGACATTGAAAAAGCACCTGTCAAAACTGATTCTAGAAACCAAATTACCATGGACAAAGTGTTTGCCTTTAGCTCTTCTCAAGATTTGAACTGATCCTAGAGAAAATATAGGGGTATCACAATAGAAAATGCTGTTTGGGTTATCATATTTAGGTGGAAATGGCGAGGTGCCCACTCTCAAAACCAAGGATAAGTTTTTTAAGAACTATATACTCAGGTTGTCTCCTTCCTTGTCTCTTAAGGTTTGTAGATTTCTGGCTCAAACTCTGCCTCTGGAACTTCTGATGCAGTCATTCCATGCAAGAGACTGGGTTGTAATACAAATCTGAAAGGAGTCAAAGCTTCATCCTGAGTGGGAAAGACCATTTCAGGTATTGTTGATCACTGAAAGAGCAGTGAGAACTACAGAAAAGAAGTGGAGACACTACACATGGTTTAAAGCCTCCACAGATCCTAATACTAGAGAAATAGAAGATTCACTGGAAGATAAATAACCTTCACACTGGAGAATTAAGAAAATGAACATAACCTGTGATTGGAAAGAAGGACTGACATATATAGAATTGGAGTGTCCACAAGAGGAACTATAGATGTCTGTAGTTGTATTTGGAGTATTGATTTGCAAACCTACATTTCCAGGTTTCTGGTAAAACTGAGGACTAGAACAAAACGTTGCAAACCAGTCTGTTGTTTTAAAATTGCCCAAATTATGATACCAAATGTTGATTAGATTGAACACTTGGGAGGGACTTCTAAAGTTCCAGTTGTAAATTACAAAGAATTTTATGAAATAAAATTACAGTGAAGGAGGCAGTATTTCTCTTAATTATAATGGAGAAAGTTTGTAGTCAAGAAGATCTGAAATGGCCATAGCAACAACCATATATACAATGCACTGTTAACACAGGAACCAATCCAACTGATAGTAGGTATAGGGACTTCAGCTCGACTGCTGTGGTTATGCATAGAAATAAAGTATACTCTAAACAAAAATTATCTGGGATAAATTTAAGCAAATAATCTCCTTAGCAGGAAAAGCTGAAGTCCTAGCTGCAGAATGAAAAATGGAACTACCTACAAAGAGGCATCTCAGGTAACAATTAGCTCTGTAGAGAATTTTATGAGTATTGCAAGGTGTCTTATGTCAATCAAAGACCTGACTGTTGGCATAACTCTACACTTACATATCCCGTGCTTGTAGTCTGTTAGTAGTCTAACCAGAATTTTGAGCCAGAATGTGTGTTTAAAATAGATATAACCACAGCTATCTTCACAACAACATTCTCTCTCTGAGAATACCCTGCCTTTACATCTTAGGATGCAGATCACTTGGGTCATTTGTGACTGGAAGGGTCATTAGATGCCATGGTCTCAAGCTCACATTAACTAAACCGGGAAGAGTAGGAATAAATCCCAGCAACAAAGTCCTGAATTTGGCTATTGTGGTTATGCATGGGACCAAAATGTATCCAGAATAGGAATGGGGTTGGTATGATACTTCTCAGACAGCCAAATGTCATGCTGAACCAGGAGACAGAATACAAATTGGCTGCCAACTAATTAATGGATCTAGCTATTGTAGACCCACTGAAACTGAAGCACTGCATACTAATGGTATTAGAACAGAAAATCCCAAGAATTGAGATTTCTAACTGCGTATAATGGAATGAAACACATGATGGTGGGGAAATTGTTAGAGGGGCTTGGAACAGTTGTGAAGCAATCTAGAGAAAAATGGACGAGGAATTCTGATCACAGTGCACAGTGTCATAGAACGAATGAAGAAAGATAGAGAACAACAGTGGTGGGACATCCTTTTGGAATGGTTGCATGCTGCAACACGGCTTTTCAACAAGATGTTCCACCCTGTTGTGGTTATTCTGTTTTGTATATAAGCTGTTTGTTCTTGATAATAATCGTATATATTAAGATTTGGAAAACTGCAAGAAAAGTAGTCCTGATAGGCTAGAGTTAGCAACTATCAAGCTAGGCTATTAAGATTATTCCTCTTTTGTAATTGTTCCATTTCCCTGTGCAAAAACACAAAAGAGTAAAAAGAAAAGGGGGGAATTGTGAGTTAAATAGTGTTTTTGCAGTAGAAAACTTCTAGCACGAAGGCACAGGCTCTTACTGAACGTGTAAGTGTCTTACAAGGCTGCAGGAGTTGTTTTTCACAAAAAAAAAAACCTGTTGAGGCAGAAGCTAGTACAGAGTAGAGTGAGTATGTCAGGTATTTTGTTTTTCAGAGCATTCCGACCAGGTGGGTAAAAACTGATACTAAGCTAAGGCAGATAGGCAGGGTAGGGAGAGCCTTATATACATCGTCCTCTTGTCTCCTTTGAAAAATGAAAAACAACAGGTGGGTGATAGACCGTATAGGGAAGCATGCCTTAGCAACCGCGTCGAGTAGGTTGTGCGCCTGAGATGCTCAGGCAGTGAGTGCAAGGAGGCAGGCTGTATAATGGTACGGATTTGACTGGCAAAGCGCACACTTTCTCCTTTGCCATAAGGGGGCGTGCACCCGCCATTCCAATAATGAATAAACTTCGCTGGTTTACTAACATGTTTGTTTGACCGAAAATTGTTGATTTTTTGTGTTTCTCACGGGGCTCTGCCTGCGTGGTAGTTGCCCTGCATATGTGCTGATGATTGTTTGAATACAGCAAGAACCTAAGGAGGAAGTTTTTGACTCACAGGGTGGTGACACACTGGAACAGGTTGCCCAAGGAGGCTGTGGATGTCCCATCCCTGTAGTCATTCAAGGTCAGGCTGGATGTGGCTCTGGGCAGCCTGGTCTGATGGTTGGCAACCCTGCACATAGCAGGGGGGTTGAAATTAGATGATCATTGTAGTTCTTTTCAACACAGGCCATTCTATATGATTCTAAGGCATCTGTCTGCCTCTTTGGCACTCTAACAGAGGGCAAAACATGAAAGCTTTTTTTCTATTAAAGTCAGATCATCTAGTGTCTATAGCAATTTCTTGTAAAAATGAACATCAATAAAACAAATCACATTATAACCAATTCCAGACTTCAGAGTCTGAACCTGAAGCCACCTGTCTTTTTTCTACAGAAATTTAGGGCAACATTTTATATTCACATTCTTGCATGCTTATTCTTACCAGAAACAAAACAAAACGGAACAAAACAAAACAAAACAAAAAACAATGAAATAGTGCACAGAAATAAACATTAATCCTATAATTACATATTTGTCTCATTTATTGAACTAGAAAGGATAGACCATTTCTATTGTCATTGAATACCATGGCACAGGAAGTTCAAAGAGCAAGTGTCAGTTGCACCTTCACTGATATTCAGAGACAGTTAGTGTCTGGATGGCCTTTGTGGCAGATGCTTTAAATGAGAATATCTGTCTTCTTCCTCGTATTCAGCATCTGAGAACTCATTCATACATTCCCTGCATTAATGGCAAATGCACTTAACAGGAGCAGTTTACAGGAAACCCGGGGCCTAACAATTTTTTTTTCACAATGCTGCTATCAAACAAGTTCATGCAACAAGAAAACAAACCAACAAACCAACAAGTTGTATGTTAGCCATGATTAGTTTTTCAAAAGAAAACGGGGCAAAACTTAGCAGCTTATTTGCTACCTGTGAATTTTTCTTTCAAGTTCTATGAGGAGCAGCTGAGGGAGCTGGGATTGTTCAGGGTGGAGAAAAGGAGGCTCAGGGGAGACCTCATTGCACTCTACAACTTCCTGAAGGGAGGCTGTGGTGAAGAGGGATTTGGCCTCTTCTCCCAGGCAACAAACAGGACCCGAGGAAATGGTCGCAAGTTGTACCAGAGGAGGTTTAGGTTGGACATGTGGAAGAACTTTTTCTCTCAGAGAGTGGTCAGGCACTGGAATGGCTGCCCAGAGGGGTGGTGGAGTCGTCACCCCTGGTGGTGTTCAAGAGGCATCTGGATGAGGTATAATGCTTGTGGTAGCAGTGTAATGAGAAGATGGACTAGATGATCTTATAGGTCATTTCCAACCTTGTGATTCTATGATTCTGTGATTCTAAGTTGAGGGAGCTGAAACCTTTGAATGGATGAAATATTGTACCCTACTTTCAGATACGCATGTTTTATTGCAATAGCAATGATTTCTAGATAGTTCAGCTGGTAGCTCATAGAACAGCATCACAGAACAGAATTGCTCTGAAAATCTCCAGTATCCATACATTAGGAATTGGCTCTACTAAGTACTGTGAAGTAATTCAGTTCATAAACATCTTTCATCACACTAGGTAGGGGGTTGGGGTTTTTTTTTGTTGGTTTTTTTTTGTTTGTTTGTTTGTTTGTTTTCTGAATGAATTGCTTCAGTCTTTGAAATCACTTTCAAAGGAAATTATGATTATTAAAGACACGGCATTGTATTTAATTTATTTTAAGGAAGGTCTCCAAGCGCTACTGCATATCTATCAATCAATCTATCTATCTATCTATCTATACATATATATACACACATAAGGAATGTTTCATGTATGATATAAAACATCCATCTATTATTTCCATACACAAACTTCAATGAACTCACGCCATGAAACTCCACCCAGAAATCTAGAGGCATTGTTTTGTTCCAGGAAGTGTGACAAATTCTTCAATAGTATATGACACATACTACGTGTCTTGGACTCCACAGATCCCAAACAGTGTGGATACAACACATGAACATAGATATTATTTGTGGCAACAGATGCTGCATCAGTTTGAGTACTCATTGAGATTATCTGTGATTAAAGCATGTCATTGTTATCCTTACTACTATTTGCATAGCAATTCTATTTATTACAGCACTGAAGTTTTGTTTAGGTAATATTTTAATATACACATGACATTTGAGTCTAATTTTTAGAGATTTCTTCCAGGGATTTCCTGTACTCTTCAAAAAAATGTGCTTCTGTTTCTATAGATATTAATGCATATGCAAAGAGAGTTTTATTAGTAAAGGGAACCTTGTGTTCATTCTGTATTTCTACACTTCAAAGAAGGGAAGAACTGGAAGAACAGAATTAGGAACAAGGGTATGAGCAGGCAAGCTAGTCAATAACAGGGTTATGTAGTTAGTGTATACAGTAATTCAGTGGATAAAATCATCAAGGATATGGAGATGGAGTGGTTTATGACTGGCAGCTGTAGAATGCTGAGGAAAGGAGAAATTGTAACAGAAGCACAAGCAATATATGGCTCTGTGAGAATGTGTGGTTGTCCAAAAAAAGATTCATGAAAAATTATTACTTGATTGTTGCTAACCCTTTAAAATTGCTTCCTAGACTTTCAGCTTTGTAGTATTTTTCTCTCACCTATAAGCCTGAGTGCAGATGAAGAGGAAGTTTAATCTCTGTTGACCTGTCTATTTGAATTAACATTCTGAGAAATCTGCATGATAAACAAACAAAAATAAAAGTACATTTAAAACACCCAGTTCCTAGAAATGGTATCTAACAGTGACAGAACCCACATTACTTCTCACAGTGCTTCTTCAGGCAAATTGAACAGCTCCTTTCTCACAGATCCAGAATTGCTCTGTCGAACAGGAGTTACTGTCATAAATAATCCGTCCATATAAGGAGGCACAGAAGTTGTGCTCACGTAATACAGTCCTAGAAAATTAAAAGACGGGAATTAGTAACGTCCCAGTGATATTACGCCCATTTGTATTTGGATTTGTTATCATACTGATTTGCCACTGAAATGTAGTTATTTCCTCCTCGAAGCTATTTTATTAGTGCTTTTTGGGTCCACAGCCAGTGACTGAGTTGTTCTTTGCTACTCTCTGTTGATAGCCCTATAGCAGATATGAGCATCTCCATGCTCCTTCATCATTGCATATGTGGCAAACATGGGAAAGTAAGAGTAATTGCAAGTTTTCTGCATGTTACTGGGGACCATAAGCCAGAACCACACTGATTATGAAGTCTTACCAAGCTTTGGCTTCTCTTGAAAGAGCAGTTCCATCCTCCCAGAACCAGCCATTCCTTTCAGGCATGTATGATAATCCAACCCAATAAAACTGTGAATCATATGGCAGAGAGACCTGTAGCAATGGGAAAATCATCAAAATGATATTTCAAAATTAAGACTCAAACTCCCTTATCTTCCAGCTGTGAAGTGTCTGCAACTAAATTGCAATTGCTAAATTATATGAGTAACCTGTTGCCCTATTCTTGTTTCCATGATACAATGCTGGCTGCTCTGATTATAGGATCCTTCAAATATCTTTATTTATTGAACTGTCACAAGATAAATGTACCTTGGATCTGCAAAACAAACACTTTTATAAAGAAAAATATATTATTTTTTCTGTCTTAAAGTATCTATGTTACAGACATGAGGGCATTGTTGAAGCCCCAATTAGAGTCAGCAGAGATATGGCCAAAATGAAGCCTGAGATGTGATTCATCTCATGCAGTGAGAATGGTAAAGAGTAGTGACTGTATTGGCTAGATCTTCCACTGGCTTGTAATGAAGCCTAAGAAGGAAGCTTTGGAGACCGCTTACAATGCAGATGTCTGGTGTTAAGTGGAATGAATCCCTGCCTACAAGGGAGAATTTGTTTGCTAAGCACAGTCCTCTAACACCATTTTGGATAGCCTAAGCTGTCTAAAGTGTTGTCATAGGTCTGCTGGCAGACACCCATAACATACAGGAGAATTATGCCATTCTGAAGCATTATTTAAAGGTGAGAGAGTATACTCCAGTGCATCTCAGATTGCACTAGACAACTATGCTTAGGCACTTGAATAATTCCCTATATGTGCTTTTTAAGATGTTCCTCAGCATCTTAACCTGTTCAGATCCTCCAGAAACTATTTATTTGTAGGGATGCTTAGGGACTCATCCACAATCAAAAATCTACAACTAGCTTAACTTGGCCTAGTTTTAGTCAGGTTCCAGTGATACATGCCAAACACGGAAGATAAAGCAAACACCCACGCATCTGTCATCAAACTACACATGGATTTATATAGCACACCAAAATCATCTCTTGAATGGTCATTCAAGGTGTAGTGGTCAGGTGTTGTCCAGCAATGTGGACAAGGATTCTGAGCTCAGGATCATAGAATCATAGAAAGTTTAAAGTTGAGAAGAAATTTTTCCATAGAAAATTTGATTTGAAAAGATCTTTAAAATCATCAAACCAACCATCACCTGACCCTACTAAGTCTATCAGTAAACCGTGTCCCTAAGTTTCAGATGCACACATCCATTAAATATCTCCAGGGATGGGGAGGGGAGAAACTTCTCCCCCCTGGACAATGCCTAACCACCCTTTCCATGAAGAAGTTCTTCTAAACAGCTAATTCAAACCTCTCCTGGTGCAACTTTAGGCTGTTGCATCACATCTTATCACTTGGCACCTGATAAAAGAAACCAACACTCTCCATCGTGCAGCCTTCTTTCAAGTTTTCAGGTAGTTGTAAGAGAGTGATGAATTTTCCCCTTATCCTCCTCTTCTCTGGGCTCCTCGTAACTCTTGCTTTCAAGACCCTTTGCCAGCTTCATTGCTCTTCAGTTCTGCTAGACTAAGTAATGTATCAGTTCTCTACTTGTGTATATCCAGCTGATTTTCATTAAAAAAAAAATCCAAATGGGTATTTATGCCTTAAAGTAAGAGAGTTGAGAACTCACATTTGAAACTAACTCCATCTGAAAAAAGGAGGGATTTTCACACAAGCATTTTCCTTTCAAAAGTTTTACATAGCCAAAAGCAAACAAGGATTTTTGGGCTTTGTGTAAGCTTAACAGCTAGTGAAAAAGAGGTATCCAGATGCGTGAGTACAGAAAGGGAAAATATGCTTCTGCCAGTAAATTACTAATTTTTCATTAGTCAACAAAAATAACAAAATTAAGAAGCTTATTTCAAACTATTAATTCCCTAAACCTTATTCAGTCATAATAAGATCCTCTGCTGTCTATCCTTTGTGCTGTCATTAATGTCAGTCTTTGAAGGGTGTAATACAGTGACAAAACCCAAACTGTGGACTGCCATTTTATACAACAAATGACAGCATGGTGTATTGACCACTCTAGATCAATTGTAGACCTAGGTTTGATGCTAGGAGTTCTCAGAAACAAAACTTGTGGAAAGAGATAACAGAGATATATGTTCTGTGTGCTAGGTGTCCTTTCCATGCTGACAATATGCAATTTATCTAGGAATAAGCTAATTTAGGTATTTCATAAATTCAGTGTCATTTTTGCTAACACAATTAGTGTAACACAAGAAAGTGTTACCAGTCATGAAAATCCTGTAATTTTCAAAAAGACCACTTGACACAGAGGAAACAAATAAAGGCCTTGTAAATGACCAAACTAATTTCTGGTCGCCACATTTCTTGAAGTTAAAATACATGTGACATAAAGGAAGAATGAGATTAAAACTATACCATCTTTATTTTGTCTTTCAGCACAATAAGTGTGGAGTTTCTCGTGGAACAGAACTCCTGGCTTTCTTTCCATGTTTTCTTCTGTTTTGAAACGTAGAAGCAGCTGCCAACTTCACTGCTTTTCCACCTTGCTGGACAGACAGCACATTCTGTTTCTAAAATCAGAGAGAGAGTACTTGCACATTTGCAAGTAACACTGGGGCTTCAGCTGCTGGCTTGACTGAGGAAAGAAGATTAAGGGTAGTTATGAATCATCTGAGATGTTTGGAGGCCTGTGAGAGACAAGTTGTTTTACATGTTAGTTTGTTCATGTCTACATCTCAAATACCACCACACTTACAAGCAGACAGTAGGTGAACAGATTATTTTCCCCATGGTTTTACAGCTCTCAATGGGCTCTGAAAGTGGATGATTCAAGCTTATATACATAATCAGTACATTTACCGTTCTTTGCCCTCCTTTCAAAACACAATGCTTCCCTCATGGCCTGCAGCTTCTTTCCTTCTTCAGGGTCCTGGTATATCTGAAAAACTGAAGGGATGAAAATTCTTATCAGAGTTTTTCCTTTAAAAATAATTTTAAATTGTAGCTCTTGGTATTCTTCCAATTTTTGTCTGATTTATTTGCATGTCCGGCCTATACATCATCTGTATTGTTATTTTTTGAAAGGAGTAGGGTGAAGGAGATTTTCAGCCAAAAGTGAATTAATTGCAAATGGATTTAATAGGGGTCTATAGCTACTCAAAGGACATTTACAAAAAGGGAGCAAAACTGCCCCAGAGAGCAGAAAGCAATATGACAGTAGGCAACCATCACAAATTAAGAATTGAGATATTTATGTTGGTCACTAGAAGAAAGTTCTTCATCAAGCTCCAGCACTGAGAAAAGAAGTGGTGGCATCTCTACCCTTGGAGAATTTCAAAAGTGATCTAAACAAAAATTTTAAATGATTTTATCTGTGGTTACTAATACTTCAGCTTGGGATGCATCGGAGAGCAAACTAGAAACTCACATAAATGTTTCTGAGATAACAATCGTGGACTACCCTGAGCGTTTGTCCTGGGTGCTTGCAAAAGAATCCTTCCCACTGAAAAGGAGCTTGAACTCTCTCTTTGCTTCAATACGTACTGTAGCATCAGCTCCAATTGATAAATTGAAATGTTTCTACTGTCATCAAATTGTCATCCTTGCAAAAAACTTGCAATTCAAGAAAGTGGGAATGGTAATTGCAATAACAGTCACTGGAGGCACTGTGTAGCCAAGGAGATGAATTTCAGTTACAAAAATTAAGCGTTTGAGGAAGGATTCAGCCTTTCTCTCCTCGGTTACTCCTTTAAGTGCAGTGGAAGTTTTGTTGCACCTGGAAGCTTTTCTGTCAGTGAGAATCATAGAATCATAGAATCATAGAATCACTAAGGTTGGAAAAGACCTAAAAGATCACCCAGTCCAACCGTTCACCTATTCCCAATAGCTCCTACTAAACCATGTCCCTCAACACAACATCCAGTCTTTCCTTGAACACCCCCAGGGTCGGTGATTCCACCACCTCTCTGGGCAGTCCATTCCAGTGCCTGACCACCCTTTCTGAAAAGTAATACTTCCTCATGTCCAGCCTGAATCTCCTCTGCCGTAGCTTGAAACCATTCCCCCTGGTCCTATCACTAATGACACGAGAGAAGAGGCCGACCCCCAGCTCACTACAACCTCCCTTCAGGAAGTTATAGAGAGCAATAAGGTCTCCCCTGAGCCTCCTCTTCTCCAGGCTGAACATTCCCAGCTCCTTCAGCCTCTCCTCATATGGCCTGTGTTCCAGACCCCTCACCAGCTTTGTTGCCCTTCTTTGAACACGTTCCAGGGCCTCAATATCTTTCTTGCAGTGAGGGGCCCAAAACTGGACACAGTACTCGAGGTGCGGCCTCACCAGTGCTGAATATAGGGGAACAATCACCTCTCTGCTCCTGCTTGTAACACTGTTTCTGATGCAAGCCAGGATGCCATTGGCCTTCTTGGCCACCTGGGCACACTGTCGGCTCATGTTCAGCCGAGCATCAATCAATACCCCCAGGTCCATTTCCTCTACGCAGTCCTCCAGCCACACCGCCCCAAGCCTGTAGCGTCGCCTGGGGTTGTTGTGGCCGAAGTGCAGGACCCGGCATTTGGCCTTGTTGAAACTCATCCCATTGGCTCCAGCCCAGCTCTCCAGCCTGTCCAGATCCCTCTGTAGGGCCTCGCTACCCCCAGGCAGATCCACACTTCCAGCCAATTTGGTGTCATCTGCGAATTTACTGAGGGTGCACTCGATGCCCTCATCGAGGTCATCAATAAAGATATTGAAGAGGACAGGCCCCAGCACTGACCCCTGGGGAACACCACTCACGACCGGTCGCCAGCTGGATTTAACTCCATTCACCACCACTCTCTGTGCCCGGCCCTCCAGCCAGCTCCTTACCCAGCCAAGAGTGTACCCATCCAAGCCTCTGGCTGCCAGCTTCTGCAGGAGAATGCTGTGGGAGACAGTGTCAAAGGCTTTGCTGAAGTCTAGGTAGACCACATCAACAGCCTTTCCTTCATCCACCAGATGGGTCACTAGATCATAGAAGGAGATCAGGTTGGTCAAACAGGACCTGCCCTTCATGAACCCATGCTGGCTAGGCCTGATCCCCCGGTCACCCTGCACATGCCGCATGATCTCCCTCAAGACGATCTGCTCCATAACCTTCCCTGGCACCGAGGTCAGGCTGACAGGCCTGTAGTTCCCCGGATCCTCCTTACGACCTTTCTTATAAATGGGAGTCACATTGGCAAGCCTCCAGTCTTCTGGGACCTCACCAGTCAACAAGGAGCGCTGACAGATGATGGAAAGCGGCTCGGCTATCACCTCCGCCAGTTCCCTCAGCACTCTCGGGTGGATCTCATCTGGCCCCATCGACTTGTGACAGTCCAGCTGGAGCAGTAGGTCTCTGACTGTTTCTTTCAGAATCACAGGGGGGTTAGTGTGCTCCCCGGCCGACTCTCCCCGGCAGTGTGGGATGGGGCGGAGGCTGTGAATACAGACCAAAGTCAATCCAAGTGACACGTGCAGATGCACAATGGAGCAGGGAATTTTCCATTCTTGTTATATTATTTCCATGGGTGTTTGGAGGGATGGTCAGCATAAACAGACACAGCAGTTGCACTGCTGGAAGTAAATCACTGCACAGTAGTACCTCGGGACACCACAGTACTTACACAGGGACAGTAAGACCACCAGACCTGTGAGCAGCACCAGGCTCAAAGTGAAGAATGCTAAGGTTGCTGGTTGCCTTATGGCGGATGAGGCAGAGACTCCTGGAACAAACAAGAAAAAAAATCAGCAACAAAAAGGCCTCCTCACAGTGGTGTTACCTGCTCTCCAGCATCACCCCCTTATCTCTTCTGTAGACCTTCTCTTTTACTTACCACAAAGTTTTTGTTATCACTGTCCTGAATTTCTATTTTTTTTATTTGTTTTGTTTTTTGTTTCTAGAAATATCCACTGAAAATATGTATTAACCGAGGCTGTAGTGTTTTAAAGCAAAATCTCTTCTCAGAAAGTAGGTAAGTAAATTAAGTTTTGAAATTTCCACAATTCTAGAAATAGTAAAACAAACTGTAAGATTTTGTCATGAAGGAAAAAAGATACCATCTAGTTTTAGATAAAAAATTTCTAGGCATCTGATTGGAATTTCAAAATGCTTGCAGCATTCCAGCATTAAACTGTGCATCTTTCTTCAGGCTCTTTCTCAAAATTTCCATTGGATTTCAATGCCCCATCAGGAAATAGTCCTCTAGAAATTTAAAGCTGACTATCCTCTAATTAAAATATTTTCATATACAATTATTTTGTGAAGTAGTGATCTACAATTTTCTGTAGTACTTTCCCAAGTCCAATCCACACTCTACTGGTTACAAATGCCAAGTACTATTATTTGAGTCCAGTGCATGCAAGGAACAAGTCTTTTATAAGGTGAGAAGAATTATCCTCCAGAAGTACCTAGATGATACCCAGACTGGGTAACTGAAACTTACATAGCCACAGTTGAGAAAGATGATCCTAACCTTTCTTGGTTAAGGCCATTTCACAAGACTGCAGAAGACACAATGCTGTGGGTAGTGACTGGTGTGCAGGAGGGTAGAGATGCTTTTTAAAGCAGGAATGAGCTGTAAGTGCAACAGAGCTTGAAAAAGACAAATGCAAAGTCCTCTACTTCTAACAGTATGACTCCATTAACCAGTGCAGCTGGAGGTCTGACTGGCTAGAAAGCATATATACTGATCAATATTTCAAGGTCCTGGTGTACAATGTGAACACAAGTCACCAGCGTGCCCTTATGGAAGGGAAAGCTGACCATCACTGTGCTGCACTGTCAAGACTGTAGGCAGCAGCTTGAAAGAAATTAGTTTCTTCTCTGTTTAGCAGTCATGAAGCCACATCTGGAGTAACATGTCCAGTGCTGGGGCCCTTCAGTCAAGAGAGATGTAAGCTAACTATACAGAGTCCAGCAGAGAACCACTAAGATGGATAATATAGGTCACACCTACAGAATAGTTGAAGGAAGCTAAGGGACCTAATTTCAGTCCCCCACTGTGTAGAAGAGCTTCACAGACAGAGCCACAGCCTTTTCAGAGGCACAGATAAGGGTATAATGCAGCAGTCACAATTTGCACCAGAAGAACTTCTGATTAGATGTGAAGAAAAAGAATTCTTCCTTTCCACGCTGGAATAAGTGCACACAGAGACTGTGAGATCTCCATGCCTGGAGGTTTCCAAAATTCAAGCAGGCAACAGCCTGAGCAACTTAATCAGACTTAAACCTAGTTAGCCCTTTCAAGATGCAGAGTGGCAAAGATGAACTATGGTGATTACTCCTAACTTAATTGATACACAAGTCTACCTACATGTCCTTTATGTCCAAAAAGAGGTCATTTAAGAGTTTTCTGGGCTTGCCACCATGTTTCCTTCTGGGAAACTCTGCCTTTAGATAAGACTACCTAATATGTATCCCTGCCTTTCTGGCTTCTGCTTGCCAACAGCTTATCCATCCTTCTCACTTTCAGAGGATAGTGCTGGATCTATTCCAAACAGCATCAGAGTTATATCAGTTTAGTCTATGACTGTTCTGTTCAATATATGATTAGCATCAATTATACTTATTTCATGCATAAGCCTGTTCCTTAAGTTCCGAGCAACAGCAACTGTATTCCAGTTGCATTCTTATGGACTCAGGCATTCCACAGGCACAATACACTTACTTAACAAAACTTATTTAACATTCAGTCTCCTTACAGAAAAACTTTGAACTACTTTATTTAACACTCATTTTCCCTATAGAAAGATTTTGAACAAATAAAAATACATTCCCATATGAGCTTGCATTCATACTATGACTGAAAAACAGAGCAACTTTCTGGTTCCACTGGCTGAGCAAGCTCCTTCAATTTCCAAAGACTGCCTTCCTCTCCTGCAGTACCCTACAGTAACAAATGAGTCTTACCAAAATAATAACATCTATATGAAGGCAGAATTTGTCTTCTGTGTTTACATAAATAGAACAAAATAATTGGCATAAATATGGACCTCAAAGTCTTCAGAAAAAGTATCTTCTGTGATCATACAGCACATCACATAAGACTGCTTTTTCGATGAAAATTTAAACAAGAATATACTATAAAGTTTTGAAGGATTCTAGAGCAACCAAGATGAACATGCTAATTCAAGTTACATCCCGATTCAGACAGATAACTGATTTCCATATGTACTTACTGTCTACTGTAACACAATGGGCTGGAGTACTAAATATAGGACATTTGTTATTGCTTGAGTATCCATCAGTAATAACTGAAGCTGGGAGTCGTAAATTTAGTGTGGTGTAGCCTTCCTCATCCTCCATCTTAAGCTTGTCACACTTCTTTCCAGCAAGAGCAGTAAACAGGAGATGGGGGACACTGCAGAGAAACAGATAGGGCAGTGGGAATGGTTTACATTTCAGCCTTTCCAGTGAAACCACAAAGGAAGCTGGCTCTGTTCTGATTACTGTGCCATCATAAAAGTATATTAAGAAGAAAAAAATTCTCTATCAAGGATAGGTAATTTCTTGAACATGAAGGCCTGGAATCTTGGGTCTTGGTTGGAGCCTAGAACAGTTTCACTTGACTACCCAAACATTAGGGTTTTCTACCTCCTTAAATTATGATGTTTTCAAAATAGTTGCTATTTTGCATTAAGCTATGAGAATTATCTATGTAAACCAAAGGGCACGAATACAACACAAGACCTACATTTCAGAGTAATAGGTTGCATTTCCACATACTATTATTAAATAAATGAGAAATGAAAAAAATTTGCAAACTTTCACTTAAATGAATTCTACAAATACAGTCAATGTTATGTCAAGCCATGCTCTTTTAGATACCTCATGCAGTTTTAGACTGTGAACTGATTAGGAAGATCCAGACAGAGGACCATTAAGGGAAAATTCTAACCTCTCTGTATCAGGAAAAATAATAATATTGGATCTAGGAGGCAAGCAACAAATGGAGAAGATTTGTGAAGATTATCCTGATTTATCAAGAAATGTTGACAGGATTCTCCATGTAGTCTGGCACTAAATTCTGAGTGATTATGATAGATGGCATTTGCTATTTTATGTTACTATAGGCTCTGATCAGGCTAGCAGGAGGGCTACCAGTAAATGTTTATGTCCTAGGTACTGTTCAGTCAGTGCTGCGGTATATTTTAGAAGAGCTTCACTCCTCTCTCAACATTGCACAGCAATATGTAGAGCTGAGAAGCTCCTGTCCTGAAAGTAAGGTTTTCTCTTCTAAGGGATTGGAAACTATGAGATGTGGCAAGATCAGAAGAAAACCTTTAGCAGAAAAGGAGGTCAGGGACAAGAACAAACAGAAGAGAGAAAGAAAGAGCAAGCAAGAAAGTGAGAAAGCAAGCAAGCAAGCAAGCAAGCAAGAAAGGTTCAAAATGGAAAAGAAGGAAAACTGAGCTGACAGAGTGATGAGGTCAGGAGCTTAGCAGGATTGACATGGTCACTCAACCTGGGTCATGCAAAGATCAAGCAACATTGAGGATCTCTCTGCTGCTGCACTGTACACAGGAGTTGCAGTACAAAAATGACTTATCCTTCGTCACTCTCCATCTCTAACACTTTGCCATACCTTCCTCCAATTCTGATCTCTAGTCCTTAAACACCTTCAAAAACTTTAACAGAATGATTCTCCAGACATGGTGATTCATGTCATGGTGAAACAGTGAGTCAACGGGAAATTGCAATGGAGGAGTTTCTGTGGTAGCTATTTCTGCTCATGTATAAAGTGCAAGGTTTCCTGTTCGCAGACTTGAAATACACTATGACTGACTTTCTGCCTTGCTGTGCAGTTGATAGCTTTTTTTTTCAAAGAGAAATATCACTGGCTGCATATACCTCTTGCAATACAGCTTACCCATATGCAAAAAGAAATTTTGAGTGAAAAGCTTGGAGTAAAGGGTGTTTTCAGTCAATTTTTCCATGCAGGACAGTGCTCAAGTACTAGCATTTACTGTGGGTTCATGGTGTCCTCATTCCCTTCAATTTCCAGTACCCCAAATCTATTGCTTAGGGGGACCTGGGGAAGCAGAGTAGGCAGGCAGGGGATGCACCCATGACGCTGACTCTCCTCCAAGCTTCTCATCTGTCAGGTCTGTCTGACTGTGACAGGGTAGGGGTTCCACAACTTTTCTGGGGGTATCTCCCTGGCACCCTTCCCAACTGCACTCCAGTGAGTCACTTCACCAGTCAATCTCCTGCTCACACTCCCTGATGGTCCTTAGTCTCTCCACCTCCTCCTTGAGCTCCACTACCATACCGAGCAGATCATCCATCTGCTCACACCTCACACTGATACAACTTCTGCCACTCTCCCCAGGCAGCAGGAGGCTCAGGCATTCCCTGCAGCCTCAGATCTGAATATTTCTGGGCCACTAGTCTTCTTGCAGAAAGCCTGCTGTCTGGCAGAGATCATGTTTAAACCTGTGGTCTCAGAGACAGCGAATAGGAAAGCAGGTCGCCTGAGCAAAGAGGGACAGCGCTTATGTGCCCTGCCACTCAACCCACCTCCCATATCTGCTGCTGCAGTACAGTATGGACAGTGAAGGCTGTGCTCATGCATTGACTTCTCCTCCCTATTCCCAGTAGGCAGCAAGAGTCTGCTTGCCCTGCATGCTCTGTGGAAGCTAGCTTCTGCCCTCTCTAAGGCTGTTTACAACCTGGCAGCCACGAGTCAAGTGTGGGCAGTGCTGGCTCAGCAGCCCACCCACAAGCTGCCAGGCCACCCGGCAAAGGCACAGCACTTTTGCTGGCTTCAAAAAAAGCCCTAAAAAGAGCTTTTTTGTTGGCCTTTTTTGCTTCAGCTCCTTTGCCCAGTGCAGTCTTAAAAAGTCTGAAAGTTTAGATCAGGTATCAGCAACTCATTCCCAAGTGTTTTCATCTTGGTGGAGAACATGAGACCAACTCTTGCAGAAAGCACTTCCACAAAACTGGGAGGACTAAGGTGCACCTATGGGGAGAAGAAATTGAGAGAAGCTTTTACACTAACACCTTACCAAGTCTGTAACACTTCTTAAATTAATGACTAAACCAGTTTCACCAATCATCCTAGTAGAAAGAGAGTATCTAGCCACAGTAAGTAAGAGTAAGAGAGGCTTTTGCTGACTGCCAGCTGCTGGAAGGGCAACGCTTTGTGTAGTGGTGACTCTATGTTTTAACCCTTCCCAGAACAATACAATCTCTGTAGAAAGTTAGCTCACAGAGATGTTTAAGCAAATGGTGTGTGACATGGCAAGTTGACAGGAAACTGCTGACTCCACAATCAGTCTGAGCACTGGAAAAACTGAGACTGTCCTAACTTCCAACCTATGTCTATTGCCTCTTGGCAAGAACAGCCTAACAGAGCTGTTTTTGCCAAAGGGAAGTTCCTTCATGCTAAAGAGAATCAAAAACCAAACTAGCTTTTCTGCCTCTTTTATCAGAAGAACAGTGAGAAACAAAACCCTTGACTCTGTTGCCGTATCTTCTTTTTGGTAGTAACCAAAAGTGTTAGTGGTAGTAATACTGTCACATATCACTGATAGTTTGCAGGATAGAGTTCTGGCCTGGAAAAGAAAACCATCAATCCTTTGCTGCTTCTAGGATGCTGCAACAGAGCATCACTCCTGGCCTATGATCACAAAATCCTTATGAAGTGGAGAAATTTGCAACAGTCCTCGTTCAGTCAAAGTCTCACTGTGGTCCCAGAAGATTCGGATAAATGTATGAAAACTTAATCATGCCCCACACTACCCATTCCTTTATACCTTTGGGAAGCTTCAGGTTCTGTATATGGGATTTATTTTATGAATCTACAAAGATGACATGAGTGCTGGCAGCTTGCAGCTTGAACAAGCACACTCTTAGCTGGCTAAAGAACTGACTTTATGACCGGGACCAGAGAGTGGTGGTGAATGGAATTAAATTCAGCTGGCGATTGGTCATGAGTGGTGTTCCCCAGGGGTTGTTCTAGGGCCTACCTTGCTCGGTATCTTTACTGATAACCTGGATAAGGGTACTGAGTGCATCCTCAGTAAGTTTGCAGATGACACCAAGTTGGGAGGAAATGTCAATCTGCCCGGGGGTAGGAAGGTCCTGCAGAGGGATCTGGACAGGTTGGATCACTGGGCTAAGGCCAGTGGGGTGAAGTTCAGAAAGACTGAGTTTCAGGTGCTGCACTTTGGCTGCAACAACCCCAGGTAACGTTACAGGCTTGGGGGCAGAGTGGCTGGAAGACTGTGTAGATGAAACAGACCTGGGGGTGTCAGTAGGCACTCCGCTGAACATGAGCCAGCAGTGTGCACAGGTGGCCAAAAAAGCCAGTGGCATCCTGACCCAGCAGGAGCAGGGAAGTGATCATCCCTCTGTAATCAGTACTGGTGAGAATGTACCTTGAATACTGTGTTCAGTTTTGAGCCCATAGCAACAAGAAACACATTGAGGCTCTGGAGCATGTCCAGAGAAGGGCAATAAAGCAGGTAAGGAATCTGGAGGAAACAAGTCTTATGAGGAGCAGCTGAGGGAACTGTGATTGTTTAGTCAGTAGAAGAGGAGGCTCAGGGAGACCTTATCACTCTCTATAACTCCCTGAAAGGAGATTGTGGTGAGGTGGAGGTCAGCCTCTTCCCTAATGTAACTAATGGTAGGACAAGAGGGAATGGCTTCAAGCTGATCCAGGAGAGATTCAGGTTGTATGTTAGGAAAAATTTCTTCTCTGAAAGAATGGTCAGACACCAAAATGGACTGCTCAGGAAGGTGGTTGAGTTGCTGTCCCTGGGGGTGTTCAAGGAATGTTTAGATTTTGTACTGAAGGACATAGTTTGTGGGGAAATATTGGTGATTGGTGGGCAGTTGGACTGGATGATCTTGTAGGTCTGCTTTAACCTTGGTGATTCTATGATTCTGTGATTCTATGATTTTAGCCTGTGAACAGAAATGTTTGAGAAACACTTTTGTGCGTGTGTGTGTAATTTCAAGTGTCTTAACTGGGAGGAAATGGACTGCATCCTGCACTGTCAATTTCTTTTATCTGTCTAAACTTAGACAGTTGCTTGTATTTGGCAGTTGTGAACAGTATTTGGACAAATGAAATTACCCTTCTCAATAGTCACAATAGGATTTCTTAGCCTGACACAATTAGTTCTCTGTGTGTAACTTCTGAAAAGAACTGCTTTGCTCAGTGGCTCATTGTCAAATGCTACTTCAGGAACTGAGCTGTGGCAAACTGATTTCACAAACACTTGAAAGGTGGGCCCTCATAAACACATAATAATTCACTGTTATTTTGAAGACTTCTTCTCCTTCCCTTTCAAAAC